ACTGAGCCTTGGACCGGGGCAGAAGGGATGGGTGGGGGACTCAGGGCAGGAGAACAGCATGTACCAGAGCACAGGGGCAGGAGAATTCAATGCATTCCGGGGACAGGTGGTTATAGGAACCGGAGTGTGGGGACAGGTAGGAGGGGCCAGAACAGAGGGCCTTGTCCACCATACTGACCTGCAGGGCCCTGTCCTCAGGGTCTTGGGAGGGGTGGGGGGTAACAGGATGATACTGGAGCTTTAGAAAGACCACTGTGGGCTGGGAGGGGAGGCTGTAACTACCTGCATGAAGGTCCAGGTGAAAGCTGATGTGGCCTGAGCTCCGGCAGATGCAGTGGGCTGAGGGGCAGGGATGGGCTTGAGAAATGTTTACTGGATGCAGAAGGACTTCACTTTTTTGAGGGTGAAGAAGATGTTCTGGAGCTAGACAGTGGTGATGTTTGTACATTATGAACGTACTGCAAGGGCAGGGGTTCCATCCCTGGTGAGGGAACTAAGATCCTACATGCCATGCGGTGCAGCCAAAAAAGTATAAAATAATAATAATATTTGTTATGTGTATTTGACCTGTTTGATTGGTCATGAGGACTGAGGTAAAAGGTGGAAGATAAGCTTCCTGGATTAGTTACCTAGCGGGGATAGAGGTGCCGCGGACTAAAGGAGACAAGGCCAGACAAAGATAAAGGCGGGACAAAGTCCTGGTGCTGCAGCTGGTTTGAGGAACCCTGGGGGATGACTAGGAGGAAATGTCAGCCACGCCCCGGAGGAAACCTGACCATCAGTGGAGCGGCCAGAGCTGGAGTGGAACTGGAGGGTGGGCATGTGGAGGTGTGTGTTGGGGGAGGGAGGAGGAGATGAGCTTCAGCGAGGATCAGATCCTGGGAAAGTCCAAGTCTCCCTGGGGAAAAAGTCCAAGTCTTCCTGTCAGAAAGTCTCCCTGGTGGGAGAATACCAGGGAAGAGGGTTTACAAGGCCAAAGAAAGAGGCTTTGTGCAAACACTGGGGTCCTGAAGGCCAAGGTCTGGATGTGTTCATGGCATTTGGCATCACCTCATAGCGAGGATTTGGGAGGTGTGGGGGCCAAAGCCAGATTTGCCTGGGAGGGTCGACTGAGAGGTGAGGAAGCAGAGAAGTGATTAGAAACCAGGCATCAGAGGATTTCCCTGACGGTCCAGTGGTTAACCCTCCACGCTTCCACTGCAGAGGGCACGGGTTCAGTGCCCGGTCAGGGAACTAAGATTCCAAATACCAAGCAGCTCAAAAATAAAGAAATAAATATTAAATTAAAGAAACAAGGCTTCAGAGGAGTTTGACTGAGGAAGGGAGTGGATAGATAGGGGTACAGAAGATAAATGGGGAGTTTGTTTGTGATTTTTCTTTTTCCTAAAATAAAGTGTTACGAATCACGTTTGTAGACTGAAAGAGCCACAAAGGCAGGGCTAGCTACTAAAAGTGGGGTAGGCGGCTCAGTCAGGGACAGCGTGAGATTCTGGGGGAGGGGGTGATGCCAGGGATGGGCTCAGAGCCCAGGTGCACCAGCCGGCCCTACCCAGCTGCGGGGTAGACATGGCCTCTGAAGCCAGGAGGGAAGCTGGGAGGACGGGTGGGGAGGCAGATAAGCCTGAAGCCGGGGCAGGGCGGGAAGTGGAGGGAGTTCCCTCCAGACAGCCTTGTGTTCTAGGTGAAGAGGGAGCTGAGGTCATCTCCTGAGACTGGCCGGCTGGGGTTGGGTGGGGGCCTGAGGTAAAAGGAGAGGAAGGGCCAGGGCTGACCAAGCACTTCAACCATGGAGCAGGCTGGCAGGTCAGGCACATGGTCCTGGGTGGTCTAAGGAACAGGAGACCTGAGTCCCAGGCCCCCCCACCTGGCTCTGCCATTACCCAGCGGTGACCTTGCACAGGTACCTTAGGTAAAATAGGATGGAGGCCTCAGGAGGCTGTCGGAGAGCCTGAGGTCTTCCCCAAAGTTACAAAGACCTTTCTCTGGGAAACCTGGGCAAGGAGTGATTGACTTCCCCCTGAGGTGGGGACTGTGGGAGTCCTATACCAAGGTCACAGGATAAAAACCTCTGGAAATGACCAAGCCCCACTGCAACTGTTGCGATGAGCCTCTGGATCTAAACCGGCCAGTTCCCTGACCCAGTATTAGGTAAAATACCCAACCTATCTGATGCAAAGAGCTGACTCATTTGGAAAGACCCAGATGCTGGGAAAGATTGAAAGCAGGAGGAGAAGGGGACGACAGAGGATGAGATGGTTGGACGGCATCACCGACTCAATGGACATGAGTTTGAGTAAACTCTGGGAGTTGGTGATGGACAGGGAGGCCTGGCGTGCTGCAGTCCATGGGGTGGCAAAGAGTCGGACACGACTGAGCTACTAACACACACACAGCATTCTAACCAATCACCTAATGCCACCATTTCAGTAGGAATTGTCTGTCCTGGGGCTATAAAAACAGGCTACCAGCCTGGGAAATGGTTATCAGAAATGGCTCTCCCTTGAGACGGCCTGATATTCTAACAGCGTCTCCCACTCTAAGAAAGTTTCTTCTCATCTCATTCTGCCTCATGTCTGGAAATTCTTTTCCAAAATGCACATGGACCATGACATTTTGGTATGGGACTTGGTCATTCCAGAGATTTTTATCCTGTGACCTTGGTACAGGGCTCCACACCTGTGACCTTAGTATAGGGCTACGCAGGGATGAAGAACGGAGAGCTAAAGAAGTCTAGAGGCAGGGTGTGGTCTGGACCAAAGCAGAGGCACAAGGCTGCAGTGGACAGAGGAGGAGCTACGAGGGTGACGGTGAACTAGGATCATTGCTGTTATTGAGCCGTTGCAACCCCATGAACTGTAGTCCACCAGCCTCCTCTGTCCATGGAATTTTCCAGGCGAGAATACTGGAGTGGGTTGCCATTTCCTTCTCCAGGGGATCTTCCTGACCCGTGGGTTGAACCCGAATCTCCTGCATTGCAGGCAGATTATTTACTGCTGAACCACTGGGGAAGCCCTGAGTTAGAACCGTGATAAACCATTATTTTACTAACCACTCTATGGTGGGCAGGTGAGTCGCCTCTTTCATCTCATCTCATACTGACTCATCACATTGATTTTACAGACTGAGAAAAAGGCTCAAAGAGGGACTTCCCTGGTGGTTCAGTGGTTGAGAATCCATCTATCAATGCAGGGGACATGGGTTTGATCCCTGGTCTGGGAGGATTGTGGCAACTAAGCCCATGACCACAACTACTGAAGCCTGCTCACTCTAGAGCCCACACTGCCTAAAGACCGTGCTCTTGCAACAAAGAAGCCACCACAGTGAGAAGTCCGGGCACAGCAACTGGAGAGTAACCCCTGCTCACTGCAACTAGACAAAGCCCCCAAACAGCAAGGAAGACTCAGCACAGCCAAAAAGAAACAAAATTTGCAAACAAACAAACAAATAACAGTACAGAGGTACCTCAAAATAAAAGAAAAAAAAAAGGCTCCAAGAGACAGAGTGAATAGTAGCTTTAAAGACATGAGTCAAGCCTGTGGCTCCAGACTCCAAACAATTGGGTTTTGAAAAGGGGGGGTTCTATTGCTGATGTTCTAACTGACTCTTTTTGGACAAGTTCCTCTGAGGGTCAGAGATTTCATCAGTCAAGTAGTCTGATTATGAAGCTAATGGACATCCTGATTCTGTGGGCAGCCATGGGGATCAAACACCCTTGGAAGCACTCGGGCTATCGCAGGAGACCTGCCAGATCGGCCTCATGAGTCTCATGAGCCCTCCCCATACGAGTGACTGCTCCAACAAACAGCACCACGCACATAAGGCATCTCCAAGCAGCAACCCAGTCACCCAGCTTCTGCCGACTGAAGTGACCTCTGACAAGGGGATCTCATTCTGTGAGCTCTCCCTCTATTCAGTCCCTGGGCCCCGCCCAGTCCCCTACTTCACTGCGTCTCATATGAAGCACAACAAAACCTGCTTATCTTAATGATTCAAAATCAGCTCTAAAGTGGATGGCAGGCCAGATTTCAAAGTCAGGCAAAAACCTGCTTCCCGTGACCCAGAACAAAGTATTACAGGTATTTTGCAGATAATTTGCAGGTATGTTAGCTATCATAGCCTCATAGATAGATGGGAGATGATATCTAACCTGTTTTAGATCATTTAGAAGTCATAATGACAATTTATTTATTTATTTATTTTTCATAATGACAATTTAAACTCTGTTCTGACTTCATGAATCTAACAAGTTGATTGTATCTCATTTTTTAATAAAAACAATTGGGGATATGAAAAATAGATATGCTATAGTAGAGGGCTTCCCTGGTGGTCCAGTGGTTAAGAGTCCACCTTGCAATGTGAGGGACAGCGGTGCAATTCTTGATCCAGGAAGACCTCATGTGCTGAGGAGTAACTAAGCCCGTGAGCCACAACGAGGGAAGCCACCACAATGAGAAGCCCGCCGCGCACCACAGCTAGAGAGTAACCTCCGCTCGCCGCAGCCAGAAAACCCCGAGCGCAGCGACAAGACCCACAGCAGCCGAAAACTAAAATGAATAAATAAACAAATAAATCTTAAAAATAAAAAAAGAAAGAAATTTATGGTAGAACAACAACAAAAAAAACCCAAATTGTGGAATCACTCGCTTTCTAATCACCCCTCCCTTCACCCACCAATCCTAACAAGCAGAAAGAGTCACAGAAAGAGGGAATGAAGCTAGATGGGAATCTCACGACTTACAGTTTTCTTGACCTTTGAGGCTTGAACCTGGAAAAGACAGGAGAAATACGTTGATTTCATGAGCTTCCCTTCTCAAGAAGCTTAAGTGATGTTGAGCAAGAGTGGGAACTCACAGAGCAGAAGTGTCAGCAGGGCTCCGAGCCACATCATGCCCCGCTGGGTCCACCTCAGCTGCATCCTGAGAGAAGCGAAGACTTTGGCGGTTAGTTCTGCGTTGCGGCCATGCCCCGGGGGGCAGAAGACACTTCTCTGGAGTCACAGTTGAGAGACCTGCCCTGTGAAAAGCAGAGACCACGATTGGGAGCGTCTCCAGGCGCTGCGGACACACTGGCCGAGGCGCTGGTCAGGTAATGGCAGCCATGCTGGAAACCAGGAACAATGCCTGGACGGCCTCATATCTCCTCAGGAAATGACTGGCCTTCCTGAGGGGCCACTGAGCGCAGCTGCTTTGTTTAGTTTGTTTGGGGTGGGGGGAGGCATGAGTGACATTTGCCTCAGCGCTCCTGACCCTCTTTGTGTCTCCACTGGGTCTGGGGGCCCCCTTCTCATGGCAGCCTGAGAGCTTCCTCCCTCCCTTTCTCCAGCCTTCCCACAAAGGGCTTCTCTCCCCGCACACTCAGCATATCTCTCTGCTTTTCCTCTGGCCCCTCCAAGGGGTCTCTTCTCACACAACCCAAGTCTGGACCTCCTGCCTTTCCTGATACGGGCTTGGAGAGGACTGACTTTTTTTCTAGAGAATTGCAGGTTTGTCAGGGAGACCCTGTAACGCCCTTCCCCAACCACCATTGCCCTCCAGAGAAAGTCACTTCCCCATCCTTCACGGCCCAGCCCTTGCTTACCTCTCCAGCCTGGTGTCTCACTTCTTCCTTCCTTGCCCTGCCCTCTGGTTGCTGAAATTTATAGTTCCCAGAACACATCACATGTCTGTGACTTTGCCAACACTCTGGTACCCTTTCCCCTCTCCTTTTCTGACGAATTCCTACCCATTCATCATAACTCAGTCTAGGCATCAGTCCTTTAGCATCCTCCCGTCTTCCCCACACTGAGCTGCCCTTCCTCTGGGCCCCCTCACCTTCCTTTCTCAGACACTTTCTAATGTGCCCCGCCTCCCCAGGCAGACTGCTGGCTCCATGGTGGCAGGCACAGTGCCTGGTGCCTAGTAAATGATCAAAAACCACCAGTAAAATGGGTGATAGACTGAAAGAGGACAAGTTAACTGTGTGGTCGGAAAGAGAGTATCATTGCCTTGGGGGTCACAGTGCTCCTTTCTGGAAAGGTACTCTTGAATACTGTCACATGGTAAATCTGGAAGTTTTGATAAGAGCTGTTAGAGGGCAATGCGTGCAGAAAGGATTTTTTTTCTTTTTTTTTTTTTGGTTGTTGTTGTTTTGTATTTTCCACTCCCCGCTATAAACTATCTTCTTTGGCAACCTATTGGAAATTACTCCCACCCATTTACCAAACTTCAATTTGGCAGGAAAAGAAAGGAAACATCATGAGTAATAACATAAATGTTGGTGTCAAAGGTGACTTTTACCTACTGTAGAGTAAGCAACTTCTGCTTCTCAAAGTGACATTCAAGCAAAAGTGATAAATGTCCCACCCCATGGCCCTAAGTTCCAAAGTAAACGTCCAAAAATTAGTCATTGTTTCATACACAATGCTAGTACTTTTAGAACACACCAACAGAAAATAAAGCTTTATTTCAAAAATGTGTTACTGCTTTTTAAAAAAGTAGAAAAACTACATCCTACAATGTACACTATGCACCAGAATAAATTCCAAATAGACCAATCTGAAAGTACAAATGAAACATAAAAGTTCTAGAAGAAAACCTAAAAGAATTCCTCATGCCTTGGGCAAAGGCTGGTTTAACTATGATTTAAAATCCAGAAGTCATAATATGAAATGCTGGCAAATTATACTCCATGAATTAAAGTTCTGCTTTGCCCACAATCCCCCCCAAAAAGTTCAGTCAAGAGAAAGACTACAAACTGGAAAAAATATTTGCAACTCCCATCATAGACAAAGAGCTAGCTCTAATATGTATATAAATGGACTCATATAGTATGTCCTTTTTTTATTGGGTTTTTTTTTGGTCTATCTTCTTTCAATCAGCATAATCAATACTACACCTTTTTTTATTGTCAAATAACATTTCATTGCATGAAAATACCAGTTTGTTTATTCACCCAGTTACTGACATGTGGTTTGTTTCCAATTTTGACCTAATACAGATAGAGCTGCTATAAACAAGCCTTTGTCTGGACACATCCTTTCATTTCACTTGAGTAAATACCTAGAAGCAGAATGCCTGGGCTTTATGGTAGGTGTATGTTTAGCATTTTAAGACACTGACAAACTGTTTACCATGCTGATTACACCATTTTTTCATTCCCATCAGGAGCGTATGAGAGTTCTACTTGCATCACATCCTCACTAACAGTGGCAGGACAATCTTTCCAAATTTAGCCATTCTAATAGGGAGCATGTGTACGTACATGCTCAGTCATGTCCAACTCTTTGTGAACCCATGGACTATAGCCCGCCAGGCTCCTCTGTCCATGGAATATTCCAGGCAAGAATACTGGAGTGGGTTGACATTTCCTTTTCCAGGGGATCTTCCTGACCCAGGGATTGAACCCAAGTCTCCTGCACTGGCAGGCGGATTCTTTACCACTGAGCCACCTGGGGAGCATAGTGCTTTCTTATTATGGTTTGAACTTGCATCTTCCTAATGACTAATGATATTGAACATATTTTTATGTGCTTATTTGTTATTTAATGGGTCTATTAAAATCTTTTGCTTTATTATTTGTTAGGTTGTTTGTTTTCTTAGTGTTGTGCTTTCAGAATTCTTTATATATTCTGGATATAAGTCTTTTATCAATTATGTGATTTACAAATATTTTCTCCTAGCTTGTGGCATGTTTTTTTATCTTCTTCAGTTCAGTCGCTCAGTCGTGTCTGATCCCATGGACTGCAGCATGCCAGGCTTCCCTATCCATCACCAACTCCCAGAGCTTGCTCAAACTAATGTCCATTGGTTGGTGATGCCATTCAACCATCTCATCCTGTCTTTTATCTTCTTAATGGTATCTTTTGATAAGTAGAAGCTTTAAATTTTTAAGACTGAAGCCCAATTTATCCATTTTTCCTTTTATGGATCACATCTAATGTATGACATCTAAATGGATCAGATTTCCTTTTGGTGTCATGTCTAAAATATCTTTGCCTACCAACATCTCAAAATTTTTCCCCTATGTTTTTACATTTCAATCTATTATCTATTTTGAGTTAACTTGTGTACATGATACAAGACATGAATCAAAGTTCTCTCTCTCTCTCTTTTTTGGCATCAGTTCAGTTCAGTTGTTCAGTTGTGCCCGACTCTTTGCGACCCCATGAATTGCAGCACCCCAGGCCTCCCTGCCCATCACCAACTCCCGGAGTTGACTCAAACTCATGTCCATCAAGTCAGTGATGCCATCCAGCCATCTCATCCTCTGTCGTCCCCTTCTCCTCCTGCCCCCAGTCCCTCCCAGCATCAGGGTCTTTTTCAATGAGTCAACTCTTCACATGAGGTGGCCAAAGTATTGGAGTTTCAGCTTCAGCATCAGTCCTTCCAGTGAACACCCAGGACAAATCTCCTTTAGGATGGACTGGTTGCATATGGATGTCCAATTTTTCTGGCATTGTTTGTTGAAAAGACTGTCTTTTGTCCAGTTAATTCTCTTTGAACTTCTGCTGAAAATCAGTTGTCCATATGTGAGCACATACATTCTGGAGTCTGTATTCTATTCCACTGAACTATGTGTTTACCTTTATGCGGTACCATCCAGTTTTGATTTCTGTAGCTTTAAAATACATCCTGAAGTCAGGTAGTGTTAGTCCTCAAACATTTCTCTACCTTTTCAAAATTATTTGGACTATTCTAAACCCTTCATCCTTCCATATAGCTTTAAAGCCAACTTCTCAGTTTCAACCCAAAGAGAAGCCTTCCAAAAATTCTATTGGAATTTCATTGAAATTCATGGAAATCAATTTGGGGAGAACTGACGACCTAACAATACTGAGTATCTGACCCATGAACATGGCATATCTCTCCATTTATTTGTCTTCTTTGTTTTCTCTCAGCAGTTTTATAGTTTTCAGTATATTTTTCATTATAAACTGTGTCCTTTTTAGTTTTTAAATCATGCGACTGTATCAGGGTGTTGGAAATCATTTGAAATGGCTGTTGTAGGGGCTTCCCTAGCTGTCCAGTGGCTAAGATTTCATGCTTCCATTGCAGGGGGCCCAGGTTTGTTCCCTGGTCAGGGAACTAGATCCCACATGATGCAATTAACAGCCTGCATGCCCACAACTAAAGATTCTGCATGCTGCAACTAAAATCTAAGATCTCACATGCTGCAGCTAAGACCTGGTACAGCCAAGTAAATAAATATTTTTAAAATAATAATAATAAAATAAAACGACTCCGGTACCCACCCCCTACCCCGACCCAGGCAGCACAGCAGGGTGACCTGGGCTAAGGCCCAGAGTCAAGATGACATGGGGCTGGTTCTTCACAGGACTTGTGGGTCCTCATGGGAGAGCCTTCCTCACCATTCTCCATGGGTTTGTCTGTCTGTCTTCCTCTCACTCTCTTTCCAGGGGAACCACTCTTTCTAGTTCTCATGGAAATCTCTTCCTTTTCTCTTATGCCTTGGCTGTGAGATAAGAACTGAAACGTATATTCTCCATCATTTATTTTATTCCTTGAAAAGATAATCATGCCCCTTAGTTTTCATTTGTAAAGTTTGAATGTCTTAATCAGAGTTAAAAATGTATAAAAGGAGGGACTTCCCTGGTGGTCCAGCGCTTAAGAATCCGCCTTGCAATTCAGAGGACAAGGGTTCCATCCCTGGTCAGGGAAATAAGACACGACAAGCTACAGAGCAGCTAAGCCTGAATGCTGCAACAACTGAAGCCTGTGTGCCACAACTAGAGAGTCTGCACCAAAACAAAGATCCTGAATGCAGCAGCTAAAACCCAATGCAGTCTGATTAATTAAATAAAATGTGTAAAAGAATTTTTCTCTATTTCACCTTTTTAAAAATAGGCAATCAGCTGACTTTCTATATGTATGTGGCCCCCGCATATCTTTCTGTTCCTCCCTCCAGTTCCTAGTGGATTCCTTAATCAGAAAAAAAAAAAAGATTTCACACAACGATTTTAACTCCTTGGTAATCAAGAAACTGACTCCCACATTGCCAGGGATGGAGACCCCAGGAGTGCCCACCAAGCAGGGCGAGCTCGCCCAGGAAACTGTTGCTCCCTCAGCCCTGCTCTCTTCTCCCTCTTC